ATTTCGAGGGAGGTTTCCAGGAAATTGTCTTTTGGCGAATCGTGCTCTGGCGAAACGTCAGAGATTCCCCAAACTTTTGCGTACACAAAAGATGGTAAAAAACCGTTTCGCCAAAAGACAATTCGCCATGGCGAAATGCCAGTGCCGTTTCGCCAATTAGAGAAACGGCACATGACACTTCGCCAATTGGCGAAACGGCATAAGACACTTCGCCAATTTGCAAAACGGCACATGACACTTTGCCAATTGGCCAAACGTCCCGTGACACTTCGCCACGGCGAATTGTCTTTTGGCGAAACGACAGAGATTCTTCAACGACAAGCCAACAATCTGTAAAACACTTGCCCCACTGGCTGATCACAAATGCATCTCCGACTTTGTATGATAAGATAAGACTATGCAAAAATCGAGGGTAAGTTACAGTTTTAACAGAAAACATTAACAAATTCTTACCAATAATTTGATGTATAATCATCGATGGTTTTTTCATATCAATCCTTATTTTTTCTAATTCTTTTAAACATTGTTTAATATCAATTTCATTGTAATTATCCTCTCCTTCAGTTGATTCAATTTTCTACCAATTTCTTCCAATTGTCTATATCTTTCTCTAACAGACTATCAAGTTCTGTTTGTGCTCGTTCACTACATACTTCAACCTAGAAAACACAGAGAGAGAGAAACTATTTAAAAAATTTCGTCTATGTGCACACAAACTACTTTCTCAGATGTAAATACACATACCGCATTAATTCCGATCTGACACTCTTCACCTTTTTCGATACTTTTCTTAATTTTATCAGACAACTTTGTTTTCCAATGATCAATACGTTTTAACATATCATCTTTACTTGGTATTGTTGTGTGCGGTTGGTGTCGTTCTCCCAAATGGTGTTTCAATAAATCATGTTCATTAACACAGTTTTCCAATTCAGCTGATAGTCCTTGTCGATGTTCAATCCAATGTTTATTACACAACGATTGATTACAACCATGACCGTTAAACTAATACCTTTAACAAACTTTTTACTTGCATATTCAGAATTAGAACATAGTACAAAAGATGATGATGATGAAGATGAAGCCATCTGAAAGTATAAAGCAAAAAAACAGAGGATATTGCTAGACAGTCGAGACAGAAAATAGTTGCAACAATATGCATTATCTAAACAGACATAAACGCTATGATATCAGAGCCGATCTGCATAAAGCCAAAATCGTACTTTAAGACGTGAGCAATGCCGAAAAGTAACTAATGTTTGCTCATCATTTGCTTGTCAGTAGTCTTTGGTATTGTCATGTAAACGTGATTGAGATATATCCTTTTCTGACGAGGGAACCACCCGAGGTGATAAATCGATTTCAGGTTGGGTCTATGTTTGTTACAAAGGCCCTAACGAGTAGTGAAATACCCTATCTTGGTTTATCCCCATGGTGGCAGACGTATACATAAGATTCGTTGCTGATTTGCTGTGAGTTTTATCGACGCTCTAGGAGCATTCATTTCGATGTATTCCTCGGCAGCATCATAATAATGATTTTTGAGCGTTGAAAAGACATAAATATCGAGCATTTGTACGTACATCTTACAACCTCCGGGTATTATGCCTAACACAACTCCTTCTTTTTTTAACAAATCCTTCACCGTATCACTTATGTGCGAGCTACACGAATCCGTAACAAACATCTTTGGTCGGCCATCTCGTGTTTTACTCAACCAAAATTGTACATAAGCTTGCATTAGCGCACCGTTAATTACTCCAGATGGACTAAAATAAACTTTAACCCCTTTTTCATACTCACTACGTTCTCTATCCGATACACGACCTTTGCCTCTAAAAATAAGAGCAGGGCCTACTCTCGAATTATCACTAGCAAAGGCACACAAAATTAATGTACAGAATCTTTTCGAATTCAAAGTACTATCTACTTCATTCGACGTATTAACGTAATTCAAACTCGCCCGGGTTTGGTCACCCCATAAAGGAAGAGGATTTTCATCCATATTACAAATATCTCGCTCAGGAAATGAATCTTTAGCTCGTAAATTGAGTATTCTTTCACTACTTTTGCGTAAAAAACCATGAAATGATTTTATTCGTTCATGAGCCTCTGACAATGGTATTTTTTGATGTCTTTTTGGACGTTGTAGTGAAAGGCGATGAAAAACAATTCTAAACGTTCTGCACCACCATCAAGTATACCAACGAGATCATCAAAGAGAAGAAAACTATAATTATTATTTATTTTATCATTAATTTATCATTAGTTTTATCGTTTCTATTTCTTATATTTTATTGTATTATTATCAAACTTTTAACCAAATGATTGTCTTCTCATTATTTACATTTTAGTTTTATTTACTCCTAGTCGGATATTGTAATTGTGATATTTCTGTCTTTTTTTAATTCTCCATTTTATACTCGAGATCTTTTTATATATGGGGTGCACAGTCTGACCGGAGGTCCCGGTGAAGCGGCTCTTCAGTCATTTCTTGCTATATTCCTTTCTATGCATTCCTAATTTGGTCGAAAAATTTGGTTAAAATAAACTGGTTATAAGTTGCGCAGCTGGAGGTGACCGATTGGATGGTTGACGCAGCATCAATCTGCAAGGAAGCGGGTTATTTCGTTGTCTGAGTCGATTGAGTCGTCAATACTCGTTGCATGCGTTCGATCGCTGAGATACTGTCTGGCACTAACTTCTCATTCAACATTAATCGCCTGATTTTGCTTGGCAGTTTTCGCGATAACCGTCGCCCTCTTCGTCCCCGTACACGATGTTTGCTGGCTGATGTTGTTGGATTCATCAATTTTAAACACATTAATGGTTGCACTAAATTGTCACTCATGGTATAGATGATTTAGATTAAGAACTAAGATTCACTATATATATTTTTTTTTACTCATCAACAAAAATCTAATCCGCGCAAATTCGTCGTTAAGCTTCTTATCTATCTTATTTCGTAGAATAATCAAAATTTCAAATTATTTTATCTATCTTAACTTTTAGAATAATCAAATTTAATTTTAACGTCATTGTTTAAAACGTGATAAGATTCGAGGACGAATCTCGCCGAGCAGGGCGGTACTTATAGCGGCTTTTCAGTCATTTCTTACTATTTTCCTTTCTATACATTCTTAATTTGGTCGAAAAATTTGGTTAAATAAACTGGTTATAAGTTGCATAGAAACTCGAATTTTAAAGACACATTATCTTCGTGCCTTTTCTTTTAGATTGTAGTTTAGTTTTAGAATTATTATTTTAGTGTTCTATCTATTTTTGAATTCTAAATTCGCTTCTTGACTCTTGTGTTCATTCCTCTTGTTCAATCGTCGTCAACCAGTGTCGCCAATCCACATTACAACAAGCAACTGTCTACCAATATTATCTTTCTCATCGTCAATATTAGCATTGTTTACAAACAGCAAAACTATTGGCTCATACTTGTACTCAGAGCATTGTTCTATAAACAATTCGATTTTCTTCTTTTTATATATATGATAATTATAATAATAATTCATCATCTCGTGTTGTTGTCAGAATCAAGAACTGGGTTGCTTTGTTGTGAGAGTTGAATTTGGGGCACAACTCTGAGCACTACACCTGGTTTCTTTATCATCGTACAGCTACTGTTCATTATCAAAAACTTTCGATTTTTTTACCAGTTATAGTATTACTAAAGAGCTGATGATATGCCATTGTTTCGATCATATATCTTGTTCGAAACGACAATAATCAGTTAGGTAGTGGTATATATCCTCTATGCCACTATCTTTGTTTTTGTAATAAACGTATGCTAGGTGCATATCATACTGTTTCATATATATAATACGAATCACAATGACTAAACATAATACGGGCATATTACAGACAATGATCTTACGAAGCTATTGAATTCTTCGACTATGACCAAAGTATATGCTCAAAACAATAGCAAGTCATCAGCTCTTTATTAATACTATAATTGGTAAAAAAATCGTATGTTTTTGATAATGAACAGTAGCTGTACGATAATAAAGAAATCGGAGCCTCCTGTCAGATTGCACACCCCCATATATATATCTATTTATAATAAACGGTCACTAGTAATGTATATTTAACAAGGCGTATATTGACGTCGACATGAAAAAATCTGAGCTGTGTCGTTGATCGACTCTCTGTCTACGAATTAGATGTTAAGTGAGATGTTATACGTGGAAACTGTTATGTCAGTCGTCACTAACATTCCTTCCTCCTCCTCTTTTCTGTTTACATTACTCATGACCACAAAGAATGTTGACTCAGTCCTAATGAGTCAACATTCTTCCTTCATCCATATATAGTGTTCGTTTATACACATCAAGTTAAGTTTTTTCGTTTTCACGTTTGGTGTGATTTTATTCTTACGAATAAAATCTGTGGCAGAGCTAGCATTTTGATGCACTAGCCGGCTGAGTTCTCATTTCACGGTAGCATTATAATGCAAAACGTCGATAGTTTCTTAGTACAAACAGTGTTAGAAGATATAAGCAAGTTTAGTGGCGATAAGAATGAAGATGTCAACAATTGGCTAGTAATCAATCAAAAGTTCGATGCTTGTGAATTAACTGGTCCTCACCGTCAAAAATGGGCAATTGCTTTCCTGTCTGACGATGCTTTGAAGTGGCACACTCGTAACGCAGTGAAATTTGAAACATGGAATGATTTTCAGACAGCATTAAAAGACAATTTTCCACCTCCACCTGCACCCTCATCATCTATTATATTTCACCAACTCCTATCTCGCAAACAAGGTAATACAGAATTATTTAATTGCTATTATGCTGATATCATTAAACTTTGTCATCGATATGATCCATTAATGTCTGATGATACACGGTGTGATATCCTCAAATCAGGAATGAATAAAATGTTACTCGATAAGTGTTGTGGAAAAGGATTTACTTCTACTCATGAATTACGTGAATTTATTGAACGATTCGAACAAGATCAACAATTCATCCGTCGTCATCTCCCACCACCACCGTCATCATCACTTAAACCTTCCAGTTTACGTCCTCTATTCACTACACTAAATCCGCGTGCCTTGAATACTCTACATTCACAACCAAGAACACCGCTATTTCGACCTCGTCCTCCGCTGCGGTCTTGTTTCAATTGTGGTGATTCAAGACATCTTATACGAACCTGTCCAACAAAACGTCAACGAACAACAGTTACATGTAATCCTTCACTCATTTTTATCAATGTCTATGTCAATAATCGAAAAATCCGCGCGTTGTTAGAATCGGGTGCTAGTCACTCATTTGTTACTCGGGCTGCTCTATCCAAGGTTCGTCACGGTCCACTCCTACCGTCTACAAACGTCGCACATCTAGCTGATAGTTCGGGCCCACTTCATGTATCAGATGAAGTTCGTAGGCACGTTCTAACATTCAACAACAACAACATATTGCCAAACAACGTTATGAACGACCCATCATACAAATCTAATCGATTCAAAACAATCTTATTAATTTCTGCTACCTTTTTGCATTGATTTTGCCATTCTATACATTTGTTCAATACAAGTGTTAGATAATTGGTACATGATCATTACCTCAGTTCTTCCCTTTCTCTGTTGGTAAAACAAACTTCAACATTATCATTACACCAGAATCCTCACGTTTTATCGAAACTAACCTGAAGTTGTTTCTTGTTCTATGTGTTCTACGGTGCTCCACTATGACATTCTAATAGATTTTCATAGGTCAAGAAAAGTGAGCTTCACGCGTAAACTCCACGTTTGGAGCTGACTTTTCCATCCAATTTCTTATCCATCAATTCTCAGTCCATGTTTTACAATATGTAATACTAAGTATATTATCAAACCACAATCTAGTCTTCTTTTTCTTTCTTTTCCTGTTTTCATTTTCTTATTCGTTTTCAACATGTGCTTAACAATTTCTTATGCAGAGCCCTGATGGGTGTTTCTCCTATCAAATAAATAAACCCGAAACACGTGGGCAAAATCAAAACTCTGCATTTATCTTTATTATTTTTCAAAGCACATTATTAAAATTATCTGCTGATATTTGACAAAAGATTGATTGCTGAAAAGCAAAAGTTGAGACCTAGCCGATTAGTTTGTCTTTTCGTCAAAGGATAGATCAGTCTGTTTTTCAATTAATTTACACGCAAAATTTCATTGCATTTGCTCGTACCGTGTTCAAATACATAACGAAAAAACAAACTTTCTTCTTTGTATATGTAGATATCGATAACACACAACACCTTTTACTACAGTGAAGAAAAAACACATCATATCAAAATCAACTAATATGACGCATTACAAACAGAATGTGTTATCTCATTGAAGAGAAATATTTCTTTTCGTTAAAGAAACAAGATATACTAGCATTTGAAATATTATTTTTATCTTTCAACATGTTTAACAAGCTAAAAAATATTTTTATTAAAAATAACGAAGAGGATTCCAATCGTTCGACCGTACAACATCAACACAGTTTATTTGATCAATTACCAACTGAATTATTTTATTTATTATTTAATTATCTTTGGGCTCATGAAATTCTCCAGACATTTTCAAATCTTAATTATCGAATTAAGTCAATAATAAAATCTTATTCAAATTATCGAATCAATTTTGAATCCATTCGAAAATCGACTTTTCATCTTATTTGTCGATCTATTCGACCTGACCAAGTCATTTCATTGATACTTTCTGATAAAAATGATACAATTGGCCAATCAAAATTATTTTTATCTTATTTTCAAATTGAACAATTCATAAATTTACGATCAATTTTATTATTAGAAATTGAAACTGAATCATTATATAAAATAATACCTAATTTATCTAAACTGAAACAATTACATAGTGTTTCACTGGGCAAATTTGAAGAAAAAGGAGAATTCGTTTCATTTATACATAAAAAATCTCCACGAGATAGGAGCATTTCTTCACTTTTAACAGAACCTTGTGCTGAAATATTTCCTCAATTAAAATATTTATACACGATTAATTTCGACATATTAACATCCATACACTTTCCTTGTTTACTTCACTTCAAAATGATTACACTTTCATCACACGATGTTAGTGAGATTCTTCAACATGCTCCACAACTGAAATCTCTTACTCTATTTCCTGCTCAATTGGATGATTCTCATGAAATTTCACCTTGTTATTCACTACGAAACCTTACTCTAATACTTAACTGTAAGTCGATATATCAAACGAGCCATATTATTCTTTAGGAATGAATACAATTTTTTGTGAATTCATAGATATATTTTATAGCATGGATGACGTCGAAAAATTCTTTCAATGGTTAGAAAAATTCTTACAAAACTTTCCAAATTTAATTCATTTTGAAATAAAACATGTACGTGGATGTGCTAATCATAGTTTAATTGATGGATGTCGATGGCAAAAAATTGCACAATCATTTTCAACATTTAATTTCAAATTTATTATATCACAAAAAGCAAATGAACAAGATTTACATTCATTTCAAACACCATTTTGGATTGAAAGAGATTTAAATTCATTTCGAACACCATTTTGGATTGAAGAAAAACGTTGGTTTGTTGCTTATCATGATCATTGCTTATTTACTATTTCTGATTTTGATTTATCAAATACAATAATATGTTCGAATTCATTTATCTATTCAACAATACCAAATAATTCGATTCTCTATCGACCTAAAGATACGACCTTTCAAAGAGAAGATCCTCTCAACAATAACTTTCGATTTACTTCAGTTAAAAATCTTAAACTTAATTGGAAAGCTTCAGTCGAGATTTTATTATCATTTATTGATTTAAATCAAATTGAATATTTAAGGTTTGAATCTTTTTCATATCATCTATTAAGAGATATTCAACATCATATGCCAAAACTTCGTACCTTATATCTTGACAGTCTTGACAATTATATTAGTTTACCAGAACAACAATACATAAAGAAATACAATGGAAACAAATTCGTGCATTAGAATTATCAACTTCAAGTCGACCTAAAAGTAATTTTAATTTAAAAAAAAATTAAGTCGTTTATTTCCTTTTGTTGAACATATAAATATATGGTATATCGAATCTATATCAGAAATGATTTATTGTATAGATAAATTCAAACGATTAACAAGCATATCATTTAGTACTCATGATGCATCAGAAGCTACATTAAGATCTTCAGAACTTGATGCAGATTTAATTGTTCATAATATCGAACAATATTTTCATTGTACAGTAACATGTCGAATTGAATTATATAATGCGTTACCTTATTGTATTCATTTATGGCTTGGTGATCGAGTAAGTAAATCTAATCACGTTGATTGATTTTTTTGTATTCTTAGTCATCAAATATGACTTTATAGAATGATCAACGACAACCACGATTTGGATATTTATGGTACAAGACGAAAACGCTATTTCAATGATCTTCCAAGACTGTTTATGATTTCCAATACATGACCATTTTAATTTTAATTCATAAGGCTTTTTTTTAATATCAGGTGTGATTATAAACGATGTCTTATAGAGTTGGGTATATAAAATGTGCCTAGACTTGACCCATGATTTCCTTCCAGTTGTGGGACATTTAGTATGAATACAGATAATATAAATCATCTTTTACTATTTAAAAAGGACACAATCTTGACAAAATCTAAACAAAATCTTGACTCATTCGAAACAAAATTGAGATAAAAATATCTTATCTACTTAGTGGTCTACAAAAGTAGTGGCACCGACCCTGTCATTTTTTACAGAAGTCTTTTGGAACTTTTTTGCTATATATTCTGCTAGCCCAAGTCGAGCTCTATAATCCTATGATATTTCATAAAGCTTTAAACAGTATTATATAAGCGAAAATTTCGATAGTCTTAAGTTTTCCCCCGCTTTTTTGAATTTTTACTTTAAACACATACACGAACTAACTATCTGAACTGAAAAAACACAAACAGAGAAGAAAATTAGAAGAAAAAAAAAAGCAAAGAGAAGGGGAATATGGTATAGGAGAGAATATAGCATATTGTTTTCTACATAAATCAGAATATGAACAAAGCTATGAGAGATGGGATCGGTTCGGTTTTTGACCGACCGAAACCGGTTCGGTTGCTAAAATTTTAAAACTCGATCGGTTGCCTTCGGTTCGATTGATATTTTTTAAAAAATTCGATCGGTTATATTCGATTCGGTTGTAAAGAATCGAAATTACTTTTTTTTATTAAATGAAAATAAACTATAAAGATTTGTGTACATTTGAATGTCTTTTTATGACTCGCTAATGTTGTCATTTACATCAATAAACTTCACTCTTCCTGAATTAGGTTCAGTTTCACTTCGTTAAAGGTTTTTCTAAATTAGGTCGGTTACGAACGGCTCAGTTTGAAAATTTTCAAAATTCGGTCGGTTACGTGCGGTTCGGTTAAACAGTTTTGTGGTTACGGTCGGTTCGGTTGAGAGTTTTAAAAAATCGGTTCGGTTATGCTCGGTTCGGTTCGAATTTTTTTCGGTTACGGTCGGTTCGGTCAAGCAAAAAGTCCAACCGATCCCATCTCTGAAAGCTATTCATTTATTTTAAAATGGATAAAGAATATTTTCGTTTCTATATTTAAGTGCGTACTGCACTTCATATCGAGCCGATAGTTATTCATAATGAATTAAGTGTTGTATTTGGTGATGAAGCTCCTCCTCTTCGAACGATTCAATGATGGTCAAAATGGTTTCATGTCGGTCGAGAAGATGTTGAAGATGAAGAAAGAGCTGAAAGACCAATAACGGAGACAACAACTGAAAATATTCCACAAGTTCAGAATCTTATTATTGATGATCCTTACATTACGATTAATGAACTTGAAGCAGAAAGTGACTGAAGTCATGGGACCATCCAATGAATTATTTCTGATCATTTGCAATTGAAGAAAGTTTCAAAAAGCTGAAAGAGTACGAATATGCCAAGAGAACTTATTAAAATTTGAGCAATGTGTTTGGAGATTGTGTGATGTAGTAACAGGTGATGAATCATGGTTTTTTCACAAGCAAATTGGCCGAAAATCATCGAATGCTGCTTGGGTAGCACATGGAGATTCTTCTCCAACGATGGTTCGATGCAATCATTTTGCTCCAAGAAGTTCCCTGTGTATTTTTTTCCAAGCCCACTGGTCCACTTTTGCTTCATTCTATTAGACGTGAACAGATAATTGATCATGATTGTTACATAAATAATTGTTTGCTACTAGTTATTGATGAAGTTAAGAAACAAAGGCTTTCTCAGGTGTTCAATGAATCAAACTGCATCATGATAATGGAAAACCACATATTCATGAAGATGTTGTCAGTTATCTTTAGTCGGAAGGTTGTAACAGTAATGTCACATCCACGTAATTCTCCAGATCTATCACCATATGATTTTTGGTTATTCGATTTAATCAAACAAAATATAGGCGATCGAGATGATGCAGAATCATTGCATGAAGCTGTAACCAAATTTATGAAGTCGTTGAAAAAAGAAGAGTATAGAAAAACTTTTGATAAATGGATTGAACGATGCATTTATGTGCAGATAACCACGGTGATTATTTTGAACATTTAATTTAATAAAAAACGTGCTCAACTTGCATGAAAAAAAAATTTTTTTTGTTACTCATTCACTGATTTTGCTTTGTTTTCAATATTATATATTGTTTAAAGCTTGATGAAATATCATAGGGTTATAGAGCTCGACTTGGGCTATCAGAGTATATACCAAAAAAATTCCAAAAGACTTCTGTAAAAAGTGACAGGGTCGGCGCCACTACTTTTGGTATGCTCTAAGTAGAAATGCTGGGTAAAGAGTAATACTCAAACAAAAAGTGATCTGCCTCGAAAAGTCTCTATCCCAAAACGGAACAAAAGTATTCACAACCCGGAAGTGCCATTTCCAAAATGGACACAGTTGTTCTGTTTTGGAAATGGCTCTTCCAGATATTGAGTATTTCTGTTCTGTTTTCGGAGAGAAACTATTCCTTCCTGGAAGTATGGAAGGTCATGTGAGTTTTTACCTGAATTACCAAAAGTGATTAGTTGACTAATCATTATAATTAATGCTATTAATATATATCTCTAAAATAGTGGGCAGCATTCTTAGGTAGAATGTGGACTGTAGAAAACAGGGATTGTGATGTATGCAGCTTTGGAGTTTACAACGTGTGAAGCTCACTTTTCTTGACCATTTTCATAACGGTACGCTAAAGGATATTCATTAAAGATCGTCATAAAAATTTGTAAAAAATAATTATTCTTTTCTGTAAGTATTTTACAACACTAACGTCAATAAAAGATAAAAATGAAACAAAGAAAAGAAATACAATTAAATACAGAACTGGCAGAGAAGAAAAGCATAATTGACAGAGATAAACTTATGCATGAGTTGTTTCACAACACATCAGAATGAATATTTAGTAAAGTCAATATTGAATTAACGCGACTACAGCATTGTTTTGCACTTCTCTTGTCTCTGGTTTTTTTTCAAAGCATCATCCAAATCGTGATGTTGTAAATTGTTTGATTAGATCTGTTTTTGCAAAAAAATAATGCAAAAGACTTTGGGAAAACTTTTTTTTTCATAATTAAGAAAGCAAATTATATATGACTATACAACATTTCCTGTTTGAAACTGAAGGCGTTTTTCCCTTGTTCTTTTTAGTGTTTACTCAATTTTCTTTTCTTTGTATGTAGAGAAGTATCGAGAATAAGTTTTATTTCAGCATCTAGTCAAGAGAATATCTGCTTCTATTGTTGTATTCATATCATCATTAAAAATCTACTCTTCACTATATCATATTCTGATTGATTTTGCAAAGAAAACTATGTGCTATTTGATCGTATTCAGTTCCTCTACAAACAACTGTCTCTTGATCGATGATGCACATATGATAGTGATGACACTAGAACAATTACTGAGATTAATTACGTTCATAAGACATTAGACCGTGTTCGATTGATTGATTCAACAATAAACAACAATACAGTTTGCTTTTTAATCAGCAACCTGTTGATTGAGAAAATATTTCTTTCATAAAAGCATGATTTTTTTCTTAATTTATTTTTTTCAAAATGAGTATCGATGCAGTAGATACTAAAGTATTTCGCATACGAATTCAAAATGACAATGATCATAGATTAGTCTGATTGTAAATATATCTGACCCAATCGTGTCATATAGACAACTGTGATTGACAGGTATTGATAGAATGAAAGATACTGTTACGAGGAATAAGTAAATGAAAATAAAATATGTGACATTTAGAAAACTCATGATCATGATCAAATCTAATATGAAACAATTTTGGTTGACAGTTATACTTTTAGTAATGTGTGACTCAGTGACTCAGTTCTGACGTGGACGGATCGAATTCAATCGCGTTACACTGCCCGCCTGATGTTTACATCGATAATAATAATAACAAATATGTCCTAGATGAGGGATATTGTTGTGTTCAACGCTTTTTTCTGAATTCAACGATGGGAACGACGATGATCACGGGTGATGCTCTTATTGATTTTTTTTGACAGTAGGTTTCTACATTGTCTAAATGTTGTGTCAGTAATATCACCTGTTTTCTAGTGACTTCTATAAGTATTGGTAATAACGATAGCAACTTTATACTTGAGAGCTGCAATACACGCATCACTCAGAGAATGTCAGGAAATTCTTTAGACATCATTTTTACTGATGGTTATAGGAGCAGTTCAATACTAATCAATTTTATGTACCCTGTGGAATGTTTATCGAACAAAGAACGTCAATAATTTGAATTGCAGATTAAAGGAATCATCGAATAGAGTAATGGTCTACATCAGTCACAAGTACAGTACTTTGTGGCAGCTACGGATCGAATAATATTCAGTTTAAATATCCGTATGATTTAGTCGTTGTCACAAATGATTCGGATACATTGTATGTTGTAGATATATTTAATCATCGAATTCAAAGGTGGTTATCTGATGTAATGACTGGAATAACAATGGCTGAACGTCGATTGTGGATCAATAGGAACACTCATTGTCGTTGATTGTTATAAACATTGGATTAAAAGATTCGATGTTTCTTATCGTAAGTTGGATTGCTATTATCGATCTATTGGATTTTAACATACATGATAATTTCTTGTTCTTTGACGGTGTTTTAAGAGCACCGACAGTGAATATAACAACTACGAGAAAGACAACAAGAAATGATCATCGATGATGAAAAAATCATTTCTATCCTCGATCACTTAACTTTCTTTTATTATAGTAACTGTATCGAACTCATTATATTCTTTACATCGCTTTCATTGTTCTAAATTTGATTGTACGCTTCATGTGTGATCAATAATAGAATCGAGGAATGAGAATAGTTCGTTTTATAAATCCTTACCATGTGGTATAAGATTTTGTACATAAAATAGATCAG